TTAGCGACCGGAGCGAGTGCCCTCGAGACGAAGAGGATCAAGGAGACCACGCACAATCGGGGAGGGTCGCCATCCGCCGACGGGGAAGCGGCTCACGCGTAAAAATAAATCCGCCAGGTAATTATTATCGATCGAGCCTCCCGGCGACCGGGCCGAGGGGGGCAGGGGGGGCGACCGAGGGGTCGGGGGCGGGGGCGGGGGNGGGCGGGGGCGCCAAGGTCGCCCCGTCCGGATTCGGGATGCACCACCGTCAGCCGTCGTCGTCACTCTAGCTCTCCCGGGTGCTCCGGGGGAGAAGGGGGGGCTCGAAAGTGCAGCCTTTTCGAAACGCGGTAATTCCGCGAAACGGTCGCCATGACGACAAGCCCCGGCCTAACACCCCCCCCCCCCCCCCCCCCNTGCGCCTCTTTTTGTTCCGGGATCAAAATTGTGAGCCGAGCCTGTAAGTGCGCGGAGGTGATTTGCTATTCGCGGAGGCCAAGTTGATGTAGGTCAGCACCGCGGACTCTGCCGCGAATCGGAGCGGTGGTCGCCCGATGTGACGTCATAGCTGCACTACGCGGAGGGATGATGGGGCCAATTAGAGCCCGACGCGTCTCCGGTGGCTCCCTGATTGGAGCTTATTTTTCGACGAGGAGTAATTCGTACGAACTCGTCGAGTATTTTTCCGCCAACGTGGGAATGTTCACCGCCGCTGGAAAAAAAAGTCGCGCTTGGATCTAGAGCATAGTGTCTAGAATGGGAAAACCGGGATTCATCAGGGAATGAAAATTTACAGGGAAAATCAGGGAAATATCAGGGAATCTGTTCCAGAAACCGGGAATCTCTACTTCTAACGCTTAGGGATCATTTCGTTTTCAAATTTGGCGGTCTAATCTGATCGAGCGCTATTTTTGACCTCTTGAATGACACATTTGAAACTTCAAATCATTGAAAGAATGGTGAAGCTTTTATTCACCCGATATTTTAAACATCCGGAACGCTATCGGAATTAAAATCGATATTCATAAATTGAACTCTGGAGAGTTATATTCTTTTCCCCCAGAAAATCTCGGGGAAGTAAGAGAAAAGTACGGTTTCTTATCAGGGAATGAGCTCCTGTAAATCAGGGAAAATCAGGGAAAAATCAGGGAATAAGCCCGGTCAAAAATTCTAGACACCATGATCTAGAGTCCAGATTCTTAAAAACATTAACAAGGAAAAATGATCCTGGTTCAATCGGACTTTTTCCTTGAATCGAAAGGAATCCGCCTAAATCGAGAGGCCCGGCTCTTCGATTCACGGAAAAATCTGATCAAATCAAGCGTATTTTTTCTTGTCAATATTGTTAAGAGTCTGGACTCTAGATCCAAGCGACTTTTTTATTATTGCGTTGTCAAAAGTCGTGGCGTTTTATGTCGTAGGAAAAGGAGAAGGGTCCTCTAAGTCCGGCAAAAGTTCCGGTTTTTCCAACTTGGTCCGCTTCGTGGCTAATTTCATCATAGGTTCGAGATTTTTCGAAATGAGTTGAATACATAATTTTTTTTCCCTGGTAAAAATTGGCAGTAGAATCTGTGTTCCAAAATACCATAGACCTACGGCCGGCTGTAAGATTTCCAATAGCTTCTATAGCCGGCTACACAATTTCTTATATCCTTTTATAGCCGATGGCGATTAAGCAACTCACAGCCAGGCGATAAAGTGTATGCTAAACGTCACTAATTACGGATGCTAGGACTTAGTGAGTTTTTGGACCACTGCTCTCTTTTTGGGCCGTAGTATCTTGATTTATTTTGCGAGGAAAGCTCCGTACTTTCGATGGAAACCTGCCATTCCTAATATATTAGAGCGCTTTCAGTTTCATATGATACTGTGCAATACCTCTGGTGTGAAATAGTTGCTTCAAGCGCCGTGGCACGCTGCAGTGCGGCAGGCGGGCAGCCAGCACGAAACGCGCATTGGCGCCTACAAACCTAACAGGGATACTTCACGCGTTGCGCAATGCGTGAAGTATCCTTGTTAGGTTTGTAGGCGCCAGTGCGTCGCCGCTCCGCTTTGTGTTAGGCTCTAATATTTAATCTGGCGGAGTCAGCGTTATTCAACTCATGATTTTGAAATGTTTGCACATCCTGTATGGATTAGGTATTCTCATTTTAATTAATAAAAAAAATATGTATTAAAGGAAAATATAATGTGTGTTTTGTAAATATTAAGGTGGTTCCGTATCAAACTTAATGATTTCCAAACCACACGAATTTCCACACAATTTCTTATAGCCTTTTATAATCGATAGCGGAAAAGCAACAGCCAGGCGATAAAGTGTAAAGCCTGGCTGTAGGAACTATAGCCCGGCTGCATAATTTTTTATCGCTTCGTATAGCCCGGCCGTATGATTTTCTCCGCATTCTACAGCCAGCTATATGATTTTCAATAGCCTTCTTTAGCCGGCTATAAGAATTCCTATGGTATTTTGAAACGCAGCTCTTATCACTAATTTTTACCAGGGTTTTTTTTTTAATTTATTCGAATACTTTATGGACCACCAGACAAAGTACGAATTTCAGCATTCTGATACATGTTTCTAAACCAAAATTTTACGTAAAACACGATGCGCACAACAAAAATTACCGAAATCAACTCCTTACGATGATATTTAATGATTCTTGATGCGTGAATTCAAACCACTCGCTCCTGAAAACTCCATGTTCTACGTGATTCGCATCGCGCGCTAAACGTTGTCATGACAGTTTCTGCGATAAAAAAATTTGGCAACCTCAATCTTGACGCTTTAGCTTAGCTGTAACAAATTGCTTTTAGTTTGGACAACACATGGTGGGAAATGAACATTGCTCGATTGAGAAGCTCGCTGAAACCGTTGTAGTGTGCAATTTGACCCATGTAGAGCTGTGAGTTTCTTGTGAGCGGGCAGTTCAAATCCCTCGTAACCAATTTGAATTAAAAACGTTACTATCTTCGTTAGAGGTTGGTTTCAGTAATTTTCGTCGCTTGAATCGTGTTTTACGTGATAGTCTGGTTAAGAAACATGTATCAGATTGTCTAAATTCGTACCTTGTCTAGTGGTCCATTCCAGACGAATAGATTATTGAAAAGTAATTGTTTTTCCTCGCCGCACAGTGGATCGAGTCAATTAGAGAGGTCGGACATGAAATTTTGACCAAAATTGCAAATTTTGATTGTTAAATCGTCACATTTTTAATTTTAAGGGGTACGTTTAGAAGGAAATTTTACGAGGAAACCAATGGAACCACTTTTAAAACCTCAAAGTTTTGTACAAACGGAGTTATGAGATTTTAAAGTTCTCACATTTTGTCCGACCTCTCGAATAAACTCGATCCTCTGTGTGCCGATGAAAAAAACGACGACGACGACGCACTAAGGCAACAACTTCATGGCGCAATTTGAAGCTTTTTCAACGGGATTTTTTCTTCTTCAGCGGGCGCAAGTGGTCATGATTCGCGTGGGGAAAAAAGTGAGATGGTAAAGGTACCAACGGACCTTGGTAAAAACGCCGAGAATTTTTTTTCAGTGAGGTGTGTGAGTTTGGTATCGAGAAAATTGAAAGTGAATTTACGCAATCGTAAAGGAACGGTGACAGATATCCTCTCTTTCCCCTGGAAGCCTTCTCATTTTTCCAAGCCTCCGGGGGTCAGAATTATACTAAATCCGGCCCCGGTCCTCGTAACATTGGTTTAGGATTTCCCACGATATCGATTAATTGCGTCCAGGGAACTTGCGGCTCTTAAAAAATTGGAAAAACATCATAGAGGATCTGCTAAAATTAGTCTTCATCATCATTCTACACAATTGGAACAATGAAAAGTCTGAAGAAATTTTGCGCTGGCTAAGGACTTTGCGGTAGTCGGCGGTAGGTCCATTCTCCCGTGCGGTTTTCGTAGCATATGAATAGACCGTGAGAGAGTATCGATAACTTGAGCCTGTAGCAACGCTTTTCAGAAATAATTGGAAAAATCGTTCGTGAGGGAATGAATGATTCGAGGAAGTTTTAGCGTGGGTTCTCAATAAGTCGAATAGATGGAGGCTGGCATGGAGTCGAAAATATTGATAATCCTCTTTTCACCCTCCTGAAAAGAAGTGAAAATTGAGATTCGCCCGCCAATCACAGGGACAAAGACGTTTTAGCCCATACGGTGTAAATTTCTGATCAATTTTGCTATTTCCTGTATACCGTTTTCCTGAAAATGGGTTTGTTGCAGAGTTCAGCCCAAGTGAAGGCGAGATTGTACTTCAATGAAATGCACTTCAATTATTATTGGATTATTAGGACAAACACCCTTAGGATAAAAGCCAGTGGGACATCTCACTCGTAGAACTTACTGTAATGGGACGAAAAACAAGTAGGAAAAAAGTATTAGGAAAATCTGATGTAGGAAAAAAAATTAGGAAAAATGACCCAGCACCTTCCTTCTTATTCAAGAAAAAATTCGATCGATTCAAGAATATTTTTTCATGTCTATTTGTCAAGAGTTTAGACTCTGGAACAAAGAGACCTTTTTCCCAATATGTAGGTGTATAATTTTTGCCGTGTATAATGGTCCATTTTCAAATTTGTCAATGTGCCCATCGTATTTTCGAGCTATTTTCCTCCAGCGAAATCTGTTATTTTCGCTCCGACTGAAGTTTGCGACATACCCATTGCAGCGCCCACCATCCAACCGTCGAATTAAACCCACCACTAAAATAGCGAGGTGGGTTTTTTTTAAAGCCCGGTAAGAACCGGGGGGGGGGGGGGGAGGGGCTATTGGAAGACGCCATGCGGACCCGGGCGGGGGTCCATCATCCCCGGGGCCGGGTGACGTCACGGCTCTGATTGGCCCATTCTTCGGGGCTCTAATCACCCGCGAAATTTCGAAATTGGTCCCGGGGTCTAACGAGGGCCGTGAAAGTAACAGCGGGGCCCCGACACGTGGGAGTCGCTCGTCTTTCGGGCTTCGTTAGAGCGCTTCGCCCCCGACCCCCGGGGTGGGGGGTGGGGGGACGGACCCCCCGTCGCCGCGACGCCGCGATTTCTGACCGGACGCCGCGCGTGCAGACGCAACAGCCCCAACGCCCGATCTGCGGCCGATGGCCACTTCTAAAAATATTCCACCACTCGGACGTCATTAACTGTAACGGACGTTCAAGTGTAATCCTGTACTTCCCATGTAAGGATGGTTAATGTTCTAATAATAGTCAAACTAGATTTGTAAAAATACGGCTTCCAAGTATGTGAAAGTATTTACTATCAGTAAGTTTTAACTCCTAGGCCTTGTCTCTACGGGACTTGCTATGGGATCTGTCCCAGGGTCTAACGCAGGAATGAAATTTCTGGGCTTTTCCCCCGTTAAACAACACAAAAAATTGTCTTCTTCTTCTTCTTCTTTTTAAGTCGTTCCCGAGACAATGGTAACAGTAGAAAAACAGGGGGGGGGGCGACGGGAAACAAGGCTAAAATACACAATTAATAAAAAAAACCGAGCCGTTTCGACTCAAAACTGAGTCATTTTCAGTCGGAAATACAATACAATTTTTTTTTAAAAAAAAAATAAATAAATAAAAATAAAAATGAAAACTTGAGCCCTACATGGTGGTGGCCGGGATCTGAGAAAAAATGATCACAATTAATAAAAAACAGAGACGTTTCGACTCAAAACTGAGTCGAAACATCTCGGTTTTTTATTAATTCTGTATTTTAGCCTTGTTTCCCGTTTTTCCCCCTTGTTTTTCTACTGTTAAGTAACTCGTTCCTAGGACTCAATCTTGGTTGGTAGTTGGTACTGTGATTAGTATTGACTAGCTCAATATTTTTACCAACTTCGCAAGTGAGATTTGTCCCAAGTTCTCCTGCAGGAATGAAACCTCTGGGCTTTTTCCCTGTTAAACAAAACAACAAATCTCTTCTTCTTCGTTGCAGACTCCACAAGAACTCTACTAGGCACTTTGATTAGTACTGACAAACTCAATATTTTTCCCAACTTCACAAGTGAGATTTCTCCCTGGGACAGATCTGATGAAACTTCCCGTGGAAGCGTGTGTCGAAGTTTGCTCCTTTTCAGGACGATTTTGGCCAATTTTGATCAATTTTAGGGCATTTTTTTAAATTGTTCGAAATTCCTGTCAGACCTTACTGTAGCAACAAGCAATCATGACCGTTGAATAATGAGACACAATATTTTTGCAATAGGGCATACTTACCTGCTGAAAAAGCATCTCTTCTTGAATTTTAAATCGATGTCCTTCTTTTCTTGTTTGACAGCTGGAGTTGTTCGGTCAGGACCTAGAGAAGATCACCCTGCCTGAGGACCGTGATACCTTGCGTCGGAATCTTATGCCTGATTTTGACCCCGACACAACTTTCCTGCAGAGCCAAGGTAAGTCCAAGAGCATGTCCGGCTCTTTTTTAACAGTGTGGGGGTGTGAAGTTTTAATTCTTCATAGAAGTAAGGACTTGAAAGTCCTTACGCAAGCTTGATCCTAGATAACTGAAGAAAACACTTAGGTACTAGAGTACAGAGATGGAAAGTGTTTGAATTACTCCAAATCAACAAAAAAAGAAAGAACGAACTAACAACATTTTCTCTCGTGAAAGTCCATAAGATTATTTGCGGATTTCTTGACATTGCCACCAATTTAACGACCATTTTTTCAAACAAACTTTTTGCAAACTTCAGACATCTCAAAATGTTTAATTATTGGTTTTGATAAGGTGGTAGATTCTCAGAGAAATACATTTCTCCATGTAAGGTCTACATTTTAAGTCCTTTTATCCGTCTCAAGCTATTATGTCTTTATAGTAAAAGCTTTGAATGTGTGGAACGAAATTATAATTTATGTGCGTTTTTGTTTTATTTCAAGTTGCAGATAGTTCTGTTTCGGTTTCAAATGAGGACAGTTGCAGCTCAGGTGACACAGTAACATTTTCAGGGTCATCATGCTCAGATCAAAGCTGTGGTCAGGGAGTGAGTAGTGGTAGTGGGGTAAGTGGAACTACGTGGAGTTCGAGTGGAAACCAGGGCAATGTGGAGTACGAAAAGCAGAAGCGATCCTTCTTCATTCGACTCCAAATACGTAGCACATCCAAGAGTGTCAAAGCTCAGTATGAATATGTTCACATTCACGGCCACCTTCGTGTCCCGGTGGTTCCCCGGTCTGCTGCAGGCTCAACACGCAGCAAAAATAGAGGTATGATAGCTGTCTTCAGCCATGATTAATGCTTTTTTTCCCTCATAGATGCCAATGTCAATGTCAATGGTCAATGTTTGCCTACCCTGTCATAGTAGTAATCTTTCACTATTTTGCCGCAAATATTTCTATTGAATAAGTGATATCATGCTAATTGCCGAACTTTTAACAGTGCTGTCAACTTTACTCAGTGGAGATATAGATGTCTGAGGCGATTTTCTCTCAATCATTTGGACGTCATGATTAACAATTAATTTTTGGCTTAAAAGAGAAAGAAAAATGAAGAATCAGGATATTAACGAGAATGATAATTGCACTGATTCTGAAGAAAGCCAAAAAAGGCTCAAAAGTTTTTCCATTTGCCGTATGATTCAACCCTTCCATATATGTGCACGGTACTTATCCAAGTTATAATCTGCTCCCAAAAATCAGTCTTTTTAGTTATTCTCACTTTATCTCTCCGAGACAAGGACAGTTCCCAACCCAAGATTCCTCCGTCTGTCTTTTATCATTAGGTATTTTTGCTCATGCCTTTCTTTTCTGTTTTGCAGAAACTGTGATAAGTGCAAATGAAGTTTACCTAATAGCTGTTGTCAAACCATTCAAAGAAATTAAAGTATCGGATCTAAGTTTGTTAGAGTGGAGCAAAGAAATGTACAAGACACAGCATGAAATGAATGGAAATTTCTTATACACCGACCAAAGGTATTGCTCATAGTTTTTCATTATTTAGAAGATAAGCTCTCATTGAGTATACGTAATTACATTTCTCGTTCCTTTTCATTTGCCAAAAGGCTTGGATTCATTTTATTTTTATTTCTCTCGAAGTGTCTGGTAAACTGAGACGACATCAATCAGAAATCTTTTTGTCCTCATGAAATCTATGAATTCAACACTTTATTGAAGTGTAAATTACAATCAACAAAAGCTATGATATCTTATCCATTTTTCTGCATTATTATTAGCGATTTGTAAAAGCTACCTATCAAAGAACTAGAACATTAATTTCTATATTTTCTCCAAATTTGTTTTTTCTTTTTGTCTGTTAAAAACTGCTGCCTCTTTTTAGAAAACCAGAGACTTTGAAATTTATGAAAAATTCATTTTCGATCTCTTTTGTCCTATTTTTGAGCTTATATTCTGTGAAACTTACGTATTCTTCTCTTCATTTTTTGTGTAGGATATCAACTGTTGCTGGATACCTGGCTTATGAAGTCAAGGGAGAGTCAGCGTTCAATTATATGCACAAAGATGATGTAGGATGGGTTCTTGTTGCACTAAGACAAAGTAAATATCCTTAATCTTCGTTGACTTAGTCATTTGCTGTTGTTTTCTTTTGTATAAAAATTATTTATAGTACTCCTAAAGAAATCTGAAGAAATATGTATGTTTTGAAGTTTTTTTCCTTGTGAAATATCTCTTCTCGTCACTTTCTTCACAGCCTCGTTGAAGTCATAAAGTTAGAACAGGCATAAGAGGTATTAAGATCAATGAATACAGCATTCAGGTAAAGGGTTTTACAGTCCAGTTATTGGACCGACTTCTAATAGGAAGTCATTCAATCTCACTTAAATTCATCGTATGCTCGGAATTTTCTCTTTTCGGAAAGCTTTGTATAGGTCATTTCAAGCTGTAATATCATGAGTGTTTCCATCAGTAGATTTAGGTTTTTAAGTACGTTTGCGTGGGTCTTATTGTAAGCTGCTTTTCCTATCAATACCAATTGAAATAACAGTATGAAAAAGAAATGCTTAAAATCGCTAAAATGAATCAACTTATGCAACAAGAAGTCAACATTTTAGTATGTAGTTCTTTTGAATAACAATGAAAACTGTTTCCAATGCTGCCAAGATTGTGAAAAAATTATGTACGCTTGTGTATTTGATTTGATGTAAAAACTGGACGAAGGTGGGTGCTCTTAGCAGCAACTGAAAGGATATCTGTGTTTATTCAAATATCTTCAATTACCAAGCTTTTGAGCTCTCTGGCTCCCGAAATTTGCATTTTTTGTCACATGTAAGAAATCATTTATTTTGATATCTTATGAGCCGATTTTCATGATTTTTGCAGTTAATGTTAGGTAATAATTCTAAGATGAGCCTGCAGCCTTCAAAGTTTCAAATTATGGGCCAGATTTTTCATTTGATTTCTTCTTTTGAGAGCCGAAAGTGTAAGTCACATATCAACCAGTGTATTCTCGTAGTATTTCAAACGTGTTCAGTTTTTGTCGGGTGCACGCATTTTTGTTGATTCTTTACAGAAAGACTTTATAGTATAAAGTATACAGAATCAAGGCTCAAAGTGTAATTTATGCATTTTTTTTTCTTTCGTGCAGTGCTCATAGAATCAAATGGCCCAGGCCTTAGCTGCTACAGGCTGAAAACAAAGACTGGCAAATTTATTCATATGCGGACACTTGGCTTCGTTGTGCAAAACGATGAAGGTCAAGCGGAAACATTCATCTGCATCAACACGCTTATTACGTACGTACTTAAATGGTTTTGAAGAGAAGTCTCTGTAAAATTGACACTTGAATACTGCTGTGCAATGTAAAAACGCAGTAAACGCCAGTTTTCATTTTTCGTAAACAATGTATCATAGCAGGAAAACTTGTGTACCTTGGAACAATTTTTTTCCAGAATTCTCTTGCAAATACTATCAAGAACTTAACCAGAAAATTTGAGGTGCATGGGTAAAACAGTTTTTATTTTATAAAGTGTTAAGTTCCAAAGAACAAGGGAAAATCGTGATGGATTTACGGCGTTCTTGCTTAGCACGGCAAAATAGTGCAAGATATCAGGCCACATTTCAAATTCTTCCTATCTTTCAATAGTAAAACATTGGCTTGATAAGTTGATTTTGCCCTCTGCATGAAGGAATGTATTTTGATCGCGCAGATTCAGTACTGCGTATTGTCATTTTTTTTCTTAATGGGAGAACCGTTGCATGAATTTGCCCGAAATTCCCAATGATTTTTCTTAACATTTTTAAGAAAAGACATTAAAATCATGATACAAATTTGTTCAATGGTTCTCCTATAAAAAAAAGAATAGAACAGTTCATGTAGGTACTGAAACACAGCAGACAAGATATGTTCCTTAGTATGGGAAATGACAATTCACGATTTAAGAAGGGTCGTTAGTTCAAAAAAACTCAAAGTTGAAATTGGTAGTTCTGCTCAAAAGAGAGTTAAACAATTATTATGGTATATAATTAATGGCCAAAAATATCAAATAGCTATGGGGTTGTGACAGTCGGCAGTTCACAGTTTAAGAAATGTAGTTATGAGAAAAAGCTCTGTAAGTTTTTAAAGTCTGTAACTGTCAGATTAAAATACAGTTTACCCCCTCCACTGGCACAAAAGTGAACTGCGCTGCTCACATTCTATTATCTGCAGCACTTAAGTGTCAGTGTTTTGTGTCAAAAACCCCATTTCCAATTTTCTGAACCAACCTGACAGAAATTTCTTGCCTAAAAAATTTCTCGGCCAGGTCTTTTTTTTCATGGAAGATCAATTTTATGCATGAACATTGAACCTTTGAACATTTATTTCCAACATGTTCAAATACCTTGAGAACTGTTGTGAACTCAACCACTTAACAACATGAACAATTTGGCTCAAAATGATAACACTAGTCAACAATTTTTATTTTTTTTTTACTTTTGCCTTAAAGTTAAAAATTGAATCTGACTGGACTTTTAGTGTTGATTCTGAAAACGACCTTCGTTTTTCTGAATCGGTTCGTTTGTCTGGAAGAATCGAGCTTTTTTGAAGGAAATTCAATTTTTCCCGATAAGCGTGTGCAGAAGCTTCCAAGCTCAGAATTTTTTGAAGCATAGCCATGGCCCTACCGAGTTGGCTCTGTAGTTTCGAGCTCCCACTGATGATGGCACTTTAGTAAACCTGTGACTGTATTTCTATTCCATTTTGTAAGGTGATGAATCAATATCTTATTTGTTTCAAATATTTTGCAGGGAGGAAGAATTCAATTCTGAATTCGCTGCCCTTCGACAAAGATTTACGCCAATGATTGAGAATCAGTCAGAGGAGCCCGGCCTAAATGCAATAGCCTCAGTATTAGTAAGTTCATGTCTTCTTCATTTTATAAGTATTTTAATCGTTCTTGGGCCAAAAATTAGATGATAGTGTTCGTAGGAAACAAAGCCTCTGAATGTTTACAATGCACCAATTGAGGGAAGAAACGGCTCTTTCATGTAGAAAACAAAAGATAATGATTGAGCTCTAATAAGACAATTATTATTTTTGATGATGTCTTTGCATTTTTTTGGCTACCTTATTCATGTCTTCATCAAAATGTTTTTTCTCCTTACGGAAGTCAGTCGGATTATTTCTGAATCAGATGCCTGATCCAATTTTTATGGTACCATCTTGTATTGCAGGCTAAAAGTGGCTTCAATAAATTTAATGTAAGAGTATCAAAGTATATAATTGAATTATATTCTCGGAAAAAGTTGAACAAATTTCGCAGACGTTGAAACTTGGTAGAAGAGCATCAGATTTTTAAAAACACAAGCAAAAATTTCAAGCATCACACCTTTTTTTAGTACACTGAGGTTTGGTTTTTTTTTTTTTTTTTTCAATTCTTAGAGTCTTAAGTTTTGTAAATTAGACTTTTTCTCCTGGTTTCCTGCCGCAGTATTCCATTATGTCTTGCTTGAAACTTGTATTATTTAAATAAATATCTCACTCGCAGTGAAAATATTGCAAGTTTGAAACTGTAAAGAAACTCATTTGATTTGCAGTCTGAAAATGGCGGTAGGAGTTCACCAGAGCAATTGCCGGAAACAAAAGACCCGAACGAGCTGACTGTGGCAGTTAAAACCCTGATCTCAGATGTAAAGCAAGTGAATCCAAATATCAAAGAAAGCCTCACAAGCAGCAGTGGAGAGGCGTCTACGTCGGCCTCCTGTCAACAGCTAGTGCCTGTCAACAGCTCTAAATTACTGGAGAAGTCAGTCATAGCACCTCCAGGAAGACCTCCCTGCACCTCCCTTGCTCAGGATCGACCATCCGTCCTTCGTGTGAAACACTCTGACACTGTTTCTGTTGTCAGTCCTAACAGTGTCTCATTCCTAGCGAGGCGCAAAAGTGTTGTTTCACATAGTAGTCAAGCTGAGGTAAGATTTGCCATTAGTTGAGATAATTTCTCTGAAATTATCATCAATTACTACAATGATACTTTAGCTAAGAAGAGTGTTTTACTAAAACTTACGCCACGGAGAATGCCACGGAAAACGGCATGGAAAATGTTGAACCTAACCGAAGTTAAGACAATGTGATGTTTGCTGTCAGCAGTTCAAAATATGTAGTCTTAAGATAAAGCTTTTCAAAACCCTGATTTTCCATAAGCAGAGCAAAATTGTGTAGGCTCTATGTGCAAATTTGTGTCCGCTATCAGCAAAAAAATAAACTCAACAGTTCTCATCTTAAAATTCAGGATACTAGAAAGTGATTTCGATTGAAAACTCAAATTTTAATTTCTGAAATCAGCCTGACAAAAACTGTACCGCTGTAAAATTTGGCTCCGTGGAGAAAAGTTCCTATTCCTTTGTATAGTTGCCAGTGATCAGCATCTCGTCGATTTTAAAAGAAATGTCTCTTACCTTATCTACGCATGATTCCTTCCCAAGTAAAAATTGTAGTGTTCATTGCTGAGTTGATCGCAGTTATTATCTTGGAAATGTTTCTACTCCTGCAAAGTTTCTTCAATTTTGCTGTCTTTGTATTCTAATATTTTCAGTGAGCTAATACCATAAACGAACAAATATTCTCAGGTTTCAGAGCGACTTGCTGCGTCACCTGTGGTCTGCTCCAACGAGCAGACAGTTGTGTGCAGTCATGATAGGGACTCAGTGGTCAAAGTCAAGCGGAAGTCTGGCGCGGAGGAGGGGCTCAACTCCTTGTGCATGAAGCGACAGCGATGTGAGCTGCCAGCGCGCTCCCCAGAGGCTGCGTCTATGGCGCAGTCACCGCCCAGCCTCGTCAACTCATCCTTATATTCATCATCTACACTCGACACCTCTTCCTCCTCGTCATCTCTGTCATCGTCGATGTTCGGCTATGATTCAGCTCTCAGCCAGCTGGAGCTAGACAAGCCCCAGGACTTGGACAGCCTGGGACTCGTTGTTGGTGACTGTGAATTTAATTCCGATACTCTGGGAGCCCTTCAAACAGGTTAGTTACAGTTCTTTTGAAGAACCTGATTGGTGATGAGAATCGTTTGATGTCTTTAGGCTGTTAGTAGAATCAAGTTTAACAATAATTTGCTATCAAGGAGAACTTAAAAAAGTAGGAAGGAAATTGAACACTGCCTACTGTGGTTCAGTGCTCTTTCTTCATGGTCAAATAACCCTAAAAATCGCAGGTTTTGTTAAAGTTTCCAACAAATTTTTCCCATCTCTTGAGGCTTAGTTCATTTCTTAAAATTTTCTGCAGTTGAGGACCTTGTTTCAAGTTTGTCAACTTGACCACAAGATAGGGTATTTTTTTTACGCGGCTGAAGAACCTCTTTCATTTTGTCAAGGAAACAACACAGTACTCAATGGGTACTCATGAAATGACATACCTGTTCGAAAATAGGTTTCCCCTCAAGTCATTTCCATGCATGCTTCACAAAGTGCACTAAGTTACATTTCGGGGGAAAAATGAGTAAGGAGTAGTTTTGACTGTATCCATTTGTAAATGTTCCTCTATCAAGAATTCCAAGCCGAAAAAAAAAAAAAAAAATATTTTGAAAGTTAAAGTAGTCGTTAAACTTTGTCCTCAATATTTTATCTTATGGAGGAATAAAACTCCTTACCTCTGTTTCTCGGTTCAAACTTGATGCGACTTGTTCTGATTCTGTTAAACTTGGTCCATTTATCTTTTATCTTGGCAAAATTTTACGATAATTTGTTTTCTTTTAATCCTAAGCACACTATGATTGTTTGCAATTAATTATATTTCATTTTTTATGTGCAGGGGTAGATGATGTGCAATCTATTATTAATCCAGTATTACATCCTCCCGTAAGTATTAAGATACATCTCTCAATTTTAAATATATATAATCTTTATTCCAGTCTCCTGCGTTTTTTGCAAATTTCTTAGTGGTGATGTATATGAATTTCTCGAAATCTGAGGATACCACAAAATCTTAGCAAATTATTATTAGGTTGTCTCTGCTCCTGACGATAGCTATCCATGAAAGTCCACAAGGTCATGGTAACTGGCAAAGAAATGTAGAAATTCAAACTGGATGACAGTTGTGCAATCTTCAGGATATTGAAGTATTACTCTGCCATACAGTCAGCTTACAGGGCTAATAACACCCTAGAAGTTACGGAGCCATGGCTTTAATAACAATAATCCCTATGGATCAACATTGTCCCTCTAGGGCTGGGGATCAAAAAAATCTGGACGGTCAAAAAAATTTGACTCTTTAACTAATCTATGTGTCTCAGATAATCCAGTTTTAGAATCTATCTAAATTGTTTTGCTGCTGATCATTTCAGTATTTCTAGCGTTTCCTGCCATTTAAATTAGTATCTCTTCTACTATTTTAGTGCGTAGAAAACCATCGTGAGACCAAAGCCGCAATAAGATTTTCAAAAAAATTATTTCATGAGAATCTGTTAATTACATAAATTAGTACTAATTTTGATAATTTTCCAGTAATTTTAATTAAAATGACCACTATTCATCACAAACTATTTTATTGCAGGAGTCTTGGGGTTGTGAGCCAGAGGTTTTAAGGCGAAATCATGTGTTGCTGGATTCGAGTCTTGGATTGCAAGAGCAGCAGCTGGCTTCAATGGAGCACAATACCTCCCAAAGTCTTGTTACACATCATGTTATCAACACGACGTTCAAATTCCGCTCAACTTGAGGTGAGCCTAGTTTATCACCTAAACCTTCAGAGAATATAACTGACAAAGGTTTTCTTACCGAGACTTAAACCTTTTTCTTTAACAATAAAAAAAATAAAACCAACAAACAATAATTACTCTTGGCATGGTGTTCTATTTTGAAATGGTCGAAATACTGTGGAGAAATGAGACAGTTTGATGGTGGAACTTCCACCATGTATCTTGATTTGCGATGTTGCAGACCTCCTGCCATACTTTATTTTTTCAATGGAAAACTAAACAATACCAATCTCAAAAACTTCTGTAGTTTTCCTTCTCTCTACGAAGCACAGTCTGAAAAAACTTCAAGTAATGATGTTGATTTGTGTTCCTGTAAAAAAACAAAATAGAAGCAGAGATATTTCAACATCTCAAATGAAATACATCGTTTGGGAGTTAAACTGTCTAGTTTCTCCCTTTCCAACTAGTCCTCTGTATTCTATGATGCTTGCATTCAGTGGAAATCAACCAGGTGACATTGATTTGGACTGGAGAAAAATAGGCTCCAAGTTTCACTCCTCCTCAAGGCCTAGTGTAACTAACATAATTTAACTCAAATCTTCGCCTACTTAGTATTTTTTCTTGATTTTAAATGTTCTGCAGGATAAAAAAGCAAGACCTCAAAAATATACTTACTCATTTTTTTTTTATATATATAATTTCACTTCTCATTTCTTTAAGGTGATTCGATGGACGCCATATTTTGTGTCAAAATGACATGCGATATGTCGCATCGATTGGTTCCATTTTTCAGCTACTCGTCATTTTTCTCGAATTTTGAGATCGCATTTCTGTTGTCAGGAAACTAAAGAATTCACTTATCAATTTTAACAAACAAGTTCAACATAATGTAGGCGTGGTTTTTTTAGAGGGTAATTATCGCATTTGAGTGTAGTTTCGATATCAGTATCGAATGTGATATTTTTCCCTCTAAAAAAATCTCGCCTTTAATAAGTTGAATTTGTTTGTAAAAATTGGTAGGTGAATTCTTCAGTCTCATGACAGCAGAATTGCGATCTCAAAATTCGAAATAAATGATAACTATCTGAGGAAATGGAACTAATCGATGCGATATATCGCATGTCGTTCTGACACAAAATATAGCGTCCATCGAATCACCTTAAACACTGCCTGACTTTAAGATGAAGATTAATACGTTAAGAAAACATGTCACATATTTCTGCCATCTGCAGTGAAGTTGGTGCAAAAAATGAACGTTCATTTCCAGTTCTAAGCATGCAAATTAATTCCAAGATGACTCAAGGCGAATGTAAGATAAGTCTCAAGTTTGACATAAGAAAAAATTGTCCCGATTGACTTGTTTATTGAGCTACTGTTGCTGCTCCTGAAGAAGAATTTATTTTCATGTCTTTCATACAATTTTCTAATCTCGTTTTCAGTCTTGGCCGGAAAATTTGGAGGTCCTGGGGATGGAAAAACATGATGTTGTGAACCTTTGCAGAAACATGAAAGGAAGTGTTGAGGGAATGAAACTGACTCGCAAGCGGGTTTGTGCAAAATCAAAATTAACTGTTGCTCTCTATCCATTGTACCTCTCATTTTATGTGATTCCTCATTTTCCTGTAAGTAAGGTTATGTTTGCCCCCAGAAGTCTAAAACTTATGTGTCAACTCGTTGGGCTCGTTAGAATTTGCTCATGAGTCCATTGAAATTCTATTGCATCAAATCAGGAAAGTAACTCTGAGATCGGTCGAGGAAGAACGAACGTTTTATAAAGATCCATTGAGTTTTGCTCAAACAAGGCTGAATTTCACTGTCTTCAGTGACTGCTATCAGAAAGTGATTTTTAATTTAAGAGAAAGGTACAAAAGTGTCTCAGGTGTTCGTCTTCTTATATAAATATTGTACTATTTTCTAGAACAAAAATGTTCTATAATTATTTTTTCTATCATTTTCTTGTTTTTTTTGGTTTACTTAGAACCCCGTTTCATTTTACCTCTTAATGGATCCTTCCTGCCGCAATTGTGTTGATGTAAGTTTTATGCTTCAGGGCAGGGCCTATTGTACTTTCACAAGATTACAAGTTTGACACTTTTTTGAATTATTTAAGACAATTTTCATTTTCATTTGAAGGACCTAAAAACATCTAGAAACGATGAATTTGCTATTTTTTCTTCCTTTGTTTATTAACAATACTTAGTTACCTTCCTGGTGAGTCGTAATTCATGAGGAAGAAAAATCGGGAAATAGCATTATGAATCGTCTACAAGACTTGTAACCTTGTTGTTTTGTGCAGTAAGCCCTTGCTTTTCTCGTATCTCATGATTTCTTGTCCAGATAAATTTCCTTGTTGTGTATATTTTTATGGTTTGTAGAGTTGAAACTTATTTTAAATTTTTTGTTGGACAGAAGAAATATTGTAACATATTAATGGAAAGAAAACTAGATTTAATCAATGACTTTCATTTTTGTCAGCCATTGTGACTTAAAACTTATTTTCAACTGATGTACAGTTATTGTTGAATATTTTTCAGAAATATCCAAGTTATGTTTTGTTTTCAACGAAATTCATTTTATCTAGGTTTCAGCAATGAAAGCTTGGTAGGTTTGGAAACGTTTCTAATTGTGAGAACTATCTCAGGATTTCATTTTATTTTTATTATTAATAGAGGCTGGGTTTGGTTCACTATTTTGTAGCCAAAGTAATAAAAAAGTAATTTTTAAAATAAAAAAAATTAAAATAGTTTGAATGGTTTCAAGTTCTAACTTTATCTATTGGTCCCTCTCAAGATTTTTCTCGACTTTTATATGGTTGATTTATAAAATTTTACCTCAAATATTCTGTCTCAGTTTTGTGTATCTCTGCCATTAAAATTGTTACCAATAACTTCAATCTCAAGGTATTGATTTTGAGGCTTGAAATATTTTAATTTGGATTTTAGATCGCGGAAGGTTTGAAAGTTAAATCTTACCATGAATATTTTCTGTTAAAAAATAACAGGAGAAGTGACACCACCGCG